AGCGAGCGAACCGCACAATCACGGAGGCGGCACGCGGGTTGCTCATTGAAGCCGGGCTACCCGACTATTTCTGGCCTGATGCGGTGCGGAGCGCGTGTGTGGCCAAGAACAGAGCCTTGACTCATGTGGGAGCAGACAAATGGGTGCCCTATGTGGAGTGGCTAGGAAGGAAGCCAAAGGTGGATATGCTTCGGGTGTTCGGGTGCATGTGCATGGCGCTCGTGCCTAAGCATCTCCGGCACAACAAGCTTGGTGCCAAGGCGGTGTGGGCCGTGCACTTGGGCATGGCTCAAAACAGCAAGGGATGGCTTCTTTGGGACCCATTCACCAAGAAGTTCTTGGTGAGCAGGGACTGCAAGTTCATGGAGAACTTCATGTACAAGGATTGGAAGGCGGAGAATGAGGCGAAGATAGGCGTGCGGTTTGGGGAGGTGAAGAGTTCCGGTTTGGAGCATGTGGAGCTGCCTTTAGAGCTGAGCAGCGGCAGCACAACCACAAGGCAATCCTCCCTTGTGAATGGGGGAGAGGAGGCCAATGATGCAGAAGAAGAAGAGGAGGAGGTGCAGCAAGTGAGCGAGCGTGCACCGTCACTCCCTTCCCGTACTACGAGTGCTCCACGGATTCGAGCCACACCGCAGCAACGCCAAGGCCTTCAAGTCCCTGCAGCTGAGGAGGAAGGAAGGGGGAAGAGGAGAGTTCAACCCCCTAATAGGCTGACCTATGATGCGCCGGAAAAGCAGGGCAAGACAGCCCTGGCCGGAGCGGCAATGATGGTCGGAGACGACGAGGAGAGTGACTACGAGGAGTGTGCCTTCGCGTTCTTCTCTCCGGTGGAGATGCCGGGAGAACCAGCAACTCTCAAGGAGGCTTTGGAGAGTAGTGATGCTGAGGAGTGGAAGAAGGCCATGGAGAGTGAGCTGAAGAGCATCGAGGAGAATGACACGTTTGAATTGGTGGAGCTACCGGAGGGGCGTACGGCGATAACGTCCAAGTGGCTCTTCAAAATCAAGTCGGATGCCGACGGCAAGATCGAGCGCTACAAGTCTAGGCTTGTAGCCAAGGGGTACCAGCAGAAGGAGAAGGTGGACTTCAAGGAGCTGTTTGCCCCTGTGGTGAAGCCGACGACGCTGCGAACCCTATTCGCGGGAGCCGCCATCAAAGGATGGGTAGTAAAGCAAATGGACATCGTAACGGCATTCCTTAACGGCATCCTTGAGGAGGAGATTTTTATGGCGCAGCCAGAGGGGTTTGATGATGGTAGTGGCAGAGTGTGGAAGCTGAAGAAGGCCCTCTATGGGCTGAAGCAGGCCCCTAGGCAATGGTACATGAAGCTGCGCGAAGTGTTGGAGGGGATCGGCTTCACTCCCTCAACGGCCGATCACTCCTTGTTCATGCTTGGCGAGGGGGAGCAGAGGAGTTTCATGGTGGTTTATGTGGATGACATCCTCATTTTCTCACCCTCTTCTGACCTTGTGAAGGAGGTGATGCTGAAGCTTCAAGACAAGTTCAAGTGCAAGGCCCTTGGTGACGTGAGCTTCTACCTTGGGCTCCACATCGAACGAGATGTGGAGAAGCGGTGCATGCGGGTGCATCAACGAAAGTACCTGGAGGCATTGGCTGCCAACTTTGGGCAGAGTGAAGGCCATGTGGCTACACCCTTTCCCTCTGGGTTCAAGTGTGTGAAGGGACCAGAGGAGGAGAGCGTTGGTGAAGAGGAGAGGCGCCGATTTCACTCGTTGGTGGGCAGCCTCATGTATGCGGCGGTAAACACCCGACCGGACGTCGCGTTTGCTACCGAGCAGCTGGCTAGGGTTGTGCAATGCCCTAATGAGGAGCAGGTAGCAGCTGGAATGAGGGTGGCCAAGTATCTTGGCCAAACACCGACCGTTGGGCTGCAATACTCGGCGGCGGCACAAAGGCGCCAAAAGGGCGCGGATGGTGTTGAACCCGGGCGTTTGTTCCTCACCGCCTACTCGGATGCTTCATATGCATCAGAACCAGAGGACATGACAAGTGTGGGAGGCTTCATATGCTGTGTTGGTGGAGGCCCAACTGCTTGGGAGAGCAAGAAGCAGGTTGACCAAGCTTTGAGCTCGGTGGAGTCCGAGTACATGGCACTCTTCCGTGCCGTACGGGAGATTGTGTGGCAGCGGCGTTTGTTGGCTGAATTGGGGGAGGAGCAGCAAGGACCTACCCCACTGTATTGTGACAGCCAGGGTGCCATTGCTCTTGCTAAGAACCCTGTGTTGCATGGACTCACGAAGCACATGAGGGTGAAGTGGCATTGGACGAGGAGCATGGTAACCGCGGGTGAAGTTGAGCTGCGCTACGTGAAGACCACGGGGCAGCCGGCTGACATGATGACCAAGAGGCTGGTGGAGCAGCAGCATTGGAAGTGTTGCAAGCTGGCTGGGATGGCTCTGAACTGAGAGAGCAACATATCCTAAGGCCAACAATCCGAGGGGGAGTTTGTTGGTGCAACCCTACGGTTTGCACTCGGCTTGTTGTCCGTGTGCGTGAATGTGTGTGTGTGTATGGAATGGTATGAGGGCATGGGATAATATATATTTCATGCTTATAATTGTGTGTGAATGTTGAGTCATGATGTCGAGTGTGTGTGTCGAGTGAATAGCGAGTTATCGCTAGACGCGTGTTACGCGGTCGTTTGTGTCTCGCGCGCGGTTTCTATTTTGTCGTGCGCGGTTTCTATTTTGTCCTGTGTCGAACGTTCGGCGTGTCGCAGGTGTGTGCAGCAGACCCATCAAGAACTCAAGGACGAGTTTGTGATGAAGAGCCCGAGCCTTGGTGTCAAGCCTCAAGTGATTTCGAAGCTTGCCAAAAGGGTACACCTCAAGATATTGAAGATAGTTACATTACTTTGTGTAGTGTAACATTTCACTTGGTGTAGGCCCTAGTGAAGGGTAGTTTCGAGACCCTTCGTGGTTGGGGAGAGTGTGGCACTGTTCCACATCACTGTACCTCGGCTCTTGGGGTTTGTAGGAGCTGGGAGTCATTCCCAACTCGTAACTCTTTCTATCTTGTGTTCTAAGACTATAGTGGCTGCCATAGTACCGTTCGTTCAAACCGACGCTGTGTCGTCAATTCTTTATCAAATCGTGCAATCTAAATTGCTAATTGTAGACGACGTGAAGACGCTCCATATCCAATTTGAATCAAGTCATTTGCAGCTGTGAGCAGAACGCTATCAACGTTTGAAGCCGCTGTGCAGAAATCTGTCTGTGCTCTCTATCTTTCGTTTTAGGCACATTCAAGCCTATTGTGACTATAACAGCTACGCCTACCACTACCCCCGCCAACGACGATGCCCCACGATGCCGCAGGCGTTGCAAGAATCCCTGCACCAAGGAAAATGTCGCCTCGGAAGCGCCTGATTTTTACCCCTTCACGTCACTCCCACCGACTCCGGTCTTTTCATCGCACACAGCCATGGCGCTCTTCCTCCAAGCCTACGCTCGCATGCTGCAGCACGTCCAGACTGCCACGTCGGGCGTTGCTCGTGTTGACCCCGTTGACGGCGTTGACCACAGCCAGGACGTCCTCGTCTCTGGCGAATCCCTCGCCGCCGCTGGCGTGACCGTGCTGAAAAGTGTGCGTGTGGGGCTCCGCGCGCTGCTGCACCACCCGCAGCACGGCGTGGTGGGGGGCCGCGGGGGGGCGTGGTGCGCCAGGAAGGAGCGCGCAGAGCAGTGCCTCGCGGAGCTGGAGTGCGATATTGAGACCATTCGCTCTGCGCATGAGCGCCCGCCCCGTGCCACTACGCTCGCGCTTGCGACTATTCACTGCATAGACGCTGCTCGGATCATCATCAGACTGTTAAACGATCATCACCATTCTTGATGATCATGGGTCCAAAGTTCTCCTCACAGGCCCCATCATTCAACCTTCATCTCTCATTTCGCCCCATACGTCCTCGATCAACCAATCAACGAGAGGCACAGATGCAGCTAAATCTGGCTGCTAATCTGTGAGCCGGGTACACGTGAGCCAAATAGTTTGTGTTTAGATTTGCTGTTGAGGTGTAAATAATTAATGCCCATCGGTGATTGATTTGGTTGGCAGGACCCCCTGAGCCTTTTCCATGTTGAGAGAAGCTTAGAGGGTACCCATCTGCTGGTGGTGTATATGTGAGATTGCCATGTTTAAAACGTGTGAGCATTATATATATATATATATATTACCTACCTATTTGCTGAATGTACCCTATACATTCTCTGGATGAATCTGGGTGTAGGTACTTGAATTTGCCTTTCCTTCCAACCGGCCATAACCTCGAAAAAGGTTATCTGATTATGTTTTTTCCCTTGGTGAGGAATTCAGCGTTCACTCGCTGGTTCTGGATACCAGTTTTTTTCCCGAAATCGCCATCGTCCGCAATCCTAGAGTTACCAACCAGCTTCTTAATTTTGTCTCGCAAGGTCTTGGTCCTCGCAACTTTCGCCTCATCAATTTCGACGTTAGTCAGCAGTGTTTTATTTTAGGTATTTTGGCCGTGCTTTCTCCAGCCTACGTAAACTCCGATCTTACAAGTAAAGGCTGGTTCTGCCTTATCCGTTCGGCTGCACAGTCTTCAGCTGTCTACGAGTTTCGCATTCGTCTCGGTCGACATATATCGCCTTCCGTCGCATTATCAGCCGCGTCGCCAAACCCTAATTGCCACAACGTGGATTTCATAGTCAGTTTTTGTTTTTTCGAAATCTCGCCGCCATGGCTTCTAAAGAAGCCGACGCGCGGCTCGCGTACATGACGAAGCGCGAGTCGGAGATTCGCCTCCCGCGGGCGACGCGAGTTAAGAACAAAACTCCCGCGCCGGTCCAGATCACCGCGGAGCAAATCCTCCGCGAGGCGCGGGAGCGGCAGGAGGTAGAAACCGCGGCGCCGAAGCAGAAAATCACCGACGCGCAGGAGCTCGGGGAGTACCGATTGCGGAAGCGCAAGGAGTTTGAAGATTTAATTCGGCGGGTTCGGTGGAACACGAGCGTATGGGTGAAGTACGCCACGTGGGAGATGAGCCAGAAGGACTTCGCGCGCGCGCGATCCGTGTGGGAGCGCGCGCTGGAGGTGGACTACAGGTGAGTGTGACTAAAGATGGGTGGGACTATAGGTGAGTGTGATTGAAGGCGCGTGTGATTGTATGTGAGGGTGATTGTAGGCGTGTGTGATTACAGTGTGATTACAGGTTAGCATGCAGTGTGGGTCAAGTACGCCACGTGGAACACTTGTGAGTCAGGTGGAACACGAGCGTATGGGTTAAATACGCCACGTGGGAGATGAGCCAGAAGGATTTCGCGCGCGCGCGATTCGTGTGGGAGCGAGCACTGGAGGTGGATTATAGGTGAGTGTGACTATAGGTAGGTGTGACTATAAGTTAGTGTGACTAGGTGATGCGCAACCGCTTTTGTGGTATGCGTTTTGACCTAGTCAGGGAGGTGGCCCCCGGTGTGACCCCCGCCTGTTCTTTTAAATCGTCCCCTTGCTCCTCTCCCTCGCCTCTCTTTTCCCCCCAGAAACGTGTCCCCTTACTATAAGTACGCGGACATGGAGATGCGCAACCGCTACAAGGGGAAGCATGCTCTGATGCATCGCCCTGTCCTCCCCACTCCATCACCCTCCCCCCTCTCCCCTTCCCCCTCCGCCCCCAGAAACGTGTCCGTGTGGCTTAAATACGCGGACATGGAGATGCGCAACTGCTTCGAGCAGAGGCACGCACTGATGCGTCGCACCAATGCACTTTATTCCCTATCGCGCTCTTCCCCCTTCCCCTGCCACCAGGAATGTGTCCATATGGCTCAAGTACGTGGACATGGAGATGCGCAACCGCTCTGAGAGCAAGCATGCACTGATGCATCGTCCTGTTCTCCTTTCTTCCCCCCCCCCCCCCCCTCCCCCTGCCACCAGAAACGTGTCCGTATGGCTCAAGTACGCGGACATGGAGATGCGCAACCGCTTTGTCAACCATGCGCGGAACGTGTGGGACCGCGCGGTGTCGCTGCTGCCGCGCATCGACCAACTCTGGTGAGTCAACGATGGGTTGTTCAGTCAATCAATGATACATCACAGCGCGGCACCATGCCATGCGCGGAACGTGTGGGAGCGCGCGGTGTCGCTGCTGCCCCGCATGGACCAGCTGTGGTGAGTCAAGGATTGCTTGTGGTGAGTGTGCGTTGAAGTGGCCATTGCCTGCATCAGGCAATGATACATCACAGCGCGGCACCATGCCATGCGCGGAACGTGTGGGAGCGCGCGGTGTCACTGCTGCCCCGCATCGACCAGCTGAGGTGAGTGCTGGCTTGACCTAGTCGTGAAAAGCCGTAACACACATCACGTTCACTTCTCCCTGCTTGTCCCGCATCTTGCAATCCTGCCCCTTCCCCACTTCTTCACGTTCATCTTGGTTGCGGGGGTGAAGAGGTGGGGAAGGTTTAGTCTTCCTCTCCCCCGCCTCTTCACGCCCTTCCTCCTCAACATTCACCCCCCTTACACCAACCCCGGACTCTCCCTCTCCCCCCCAAGGTACAAGTACGTTCACATGGAGGAGATGCTGGGGAACGTGGCACGGGCTGTTCCTTTGCACCCATTCCCCTCCTTGACACACCCCCCCCCCCCTTCCCACACCCCTCTGCAAACACCCTGCTCCCCCCCTGCCTCACCTTAAGGTACAAGTACATTCACATGGAGGAGATGCTGGGAAACGTGGCAGGGGCTGCTTAATGCACCCTCTCTCTCCCCGTCCCCCTCCCCCATCTCCCCGCCCCCATTGTACTCCTCTTCCCCCTCCAAGGTACAAGTACATTCACATGGAGGAGATGTTGGGGAACGTGGCAGGGGCTGCTAATTCTTCTCTCTTTCCCCATACCCCGTTCCACCCCAACGGAAAACTCCCCCAACACCTTCCCCCCTGCAGGTACAAGTACATACACATGGAGGAGATGCTGGGGAACGTGGCAGGGGCGAGGCAGGTGTTGGAGCGGTGGATGAAATGGGAACCCGACCACCACGGCTGGTCCGCTTACATCAAATTCGAGCTCCCTTTTACGCCCTTTCCCCCTATCCCCCGTGTTCCCTGTGTCCCCTCCCCCCCGGTCCCCCTTTCCCCTGTCCCCCTCCCCTTCCCCCCCCCTTTTTCCTCCCCTCCCCCCCTGCAGGTACAAGTACATACACATGGAGGAGATGCTGGGGAACGTGGCAGGGGCGAGGCAGGTGTTGGAGCGGTGGATGAAATGGGAACCCGACCACCACGGCTGGTCCGCTTACATCAAATTCGAGCTCCCTTTTACGCCCTTTCCCCCTATCCCCCGTGTTCCCTGTGTCCCCTTCCCCCCGGTCCCCCTTTCCCCTGTCCCCCTCCCCTTCCCCCCCCCCTTTTTTCCTCCCCTCCCCCCCTGCAGGTACAAGTACATACACATGGAGGAGATGCTGGGGAACGTGGCAGGGGCGAGGCAGGTGTTGGAGCGGTGGATGAAATGGGAACCCGACCACCACGGCTGGTCCGCTTACATCAAATTCGAGCTCCCTTTTACGCCCTTTCCCCCTATCCCCCGTGTTCCCTGTGTCCCCTCCCCCCCGGTCCCCCTTTCCCCTGTCCCCCTCCCCTTCCCCCCCCCTTTTTCCTCCCCTCCCCCCCTGCAGGTACAAGTACATACACATGGAGGAGATGCTGGGGAACGTGGCAGGGGCGAGGCAGGTGTTGGAGCGGTGGATGAAATGGGAACCCGACCACCACGGCTGGTCCGCTTACATCAAATTCGAGCTCCCTTTTACGCCCTTTCCCCCTATCCCCCGTGTTCCCTGTGTCCCCTCCCCCCCGGTCCCCCTTTCCCCTGTCCCCCTCCCCTTCCCCCCCCCCCCTTTTTTCCTCCCCTCCCCCCCTGCAGGTACAAGTACATACACATGGAGGAGATGCTGGGGAACGTGGCAGGGGCGAGGCAGGTGTTGGAGCGGTGGATGAAATGGGAACCCGACCACCACGGCTGGTCCGCTTACATCAAATTCGAGCTCCCTTTTACGCCCTTTCCCCCTATCCCCCGTGTTCCCTGTGTCCCCTCCCCCCCGGTCCCCCTTTCCCCTGTCCCCCTCCCATTCCCCCCCCCCTTTTTTCCTCCCCTCCCCCCCTGCAGGTACAAGTACATACACATGGAGGAGATGCTGGGGAACGTGGCAGGGGCGAGGCAGGTGTTGGAGCGATGGATGAAATGGGAACCCGACCACCACGGCTGGTCCGCCTACATCAAATTCGAGCTCCGATACGGCGAGATTGCACGCGCCCGGGCCGTGTTCGAGCGCTACACCATGTGCATTCCCACGGTGAAAGCGTGGATCCGTTTCGCAAAATTCGAGGTGAAGCAAGGGGAGATTTCGCGCGCCCGGGAGGTGTACGAGCGGGCAGTTGAAATTCTCGGCGAGGACGGGCAGAACGAGGAACTTTTCGTCGCGTTTGCCGAGTTCGAGGAGCGGATATGCAAAGAGATCGAGCGGGCCAGGGCGATTTACAAATACGCCCTCGACCACGTTCCGAAAGCCGAGGCCGAATCCCTGTATAAAAAATTCGTGGTTTTCGAGAAGCAGCATGGGGACCGGGCAGGGATAGAGGATGTGGTGGTGGGGAAGAGGCGGTTTGAGTATGAGGAGGAGGTGAAGAGGAATCCGCGGAACTACGACGCGTGGTTTGACTATGTGCGGTTGGAGGAGAGCGTGGGGGAGGCGGAGCGCGTGCGGGAGGTGTACGAACGCGCGATCGCCAACGTGCCTCCTGCCGATGAGAAGCGCTTCTGGCAGCGATACATCTACCTCTGGTGGGTTGATCTGACTAAACTGTACGGGGGAGGTGCCCTGGGAGCTGGAGGCCGGCCGGGGGCATAGAGGGGACGTGGAAGGTGTATTGGGAGTGCCTGAAGCTGATTCCACCCACCACCACCCATCGCCACCCACCAACACTCTTTCCGTTTCCCACCAGGATCAACTACGCTCTGTACGAGGAGCTGGAGGCGGGGGACATGGAGAGGACGCGGGAGGTGTACCGGGAGTGGCCCCAGCACCCATCATCACCAGCCACCACCCACCTCCACCACTCACCACCACTCATAACACCTACGCTTCCCCCCACACCCACACCAGGATCAACTATGCCCTATACGAAGAACTCGAAGCGGGGGACATGGAGAGGACGAGGGAGGTGTACCGGGAGTGCCTGAAGCTGATCCCACATGGCAAGTTCTCATTCGCCAAGATCTGGCTGCTCGCCGCTCAGTTTGAGATCCGCCAGAAGCGCCTCTCTGCCGCCCGGCAGATCCTGGGGCATGCCATTGGAGTGGCTCCTAAAGATAAGGTGAGAAGCGATATGATTCAGGACTGTACAGTATGATGCGGTATTACAAGGTATGATAGAGTACAATAAGGTGCAATAATGCACGAGTCGTTTTTCAGAAGCAGTAAGGTAAGGTCATAAGAGGCGTCTCACATGAGTTAAGATGCGCTGTAAAAGTGGCGGCAAGATTGGTATGCCATGGGTGTGAGCTGAGATCCGCCAGAAGCGCCTCTCCGCCGCCCAGCACATCCTGGGGCATGCGATCGGCGTGGCTCCCAAAGATAAGGTGAGATCAGATACGGTATGAGTCGGTATGATACGGTTTGATGAGGTACGAGGAGGCGTACATCAAGATGGAGCTGCACCTCGGCAGCATCGAACGCTGCCGAATTTTATGCACCTCAAACAACAGCAAGAACCTCCAATGGCAGCCCATGTCCCAAAAGAATCTTGTTGTTCGAACATGGGAGGGACTGGGAGGGTTCATGGGACAAAAAATTCATGGGATTGGAGCCTCGAACAACAGCAAGAACCTCCAATGGCAGCCCATGTCCCAAAAAATTCTTGTTGTTCGAACCCTCCCAGTCCCAACCCTCCCACGCCTTGTGCCCTCCACACACATACCTCAGATCTTCAAGGCATACATAGAGATGGAGTTACAGCTGGGCAACATCGACCGCTGCCGCATGCTGTCCGAGAAGTACCTTGAGTGTGTGTTGACCTCTCCTTTCCTCTACCCATGCTGTGTACTCCAAACCACCACTCACCCTCAGATATTCAAGGCATACATTGAGATGGAGCTACAGCTAGGCAACATCGACCGCTGTCGCATGCTGTACGAGAAGTACCTCCAATGGCAGCCCGCCAGCTGTCCCGCGTGGGCCAAGTTCGCAGAGCTGGAGCGCAGCCTGGGCGAAACTGAGCGGGCAAGGGCAGTGTATGAACTGGCTATCGGGCAGCCGCTGCTGGACACACCTGAGCTGCTGTGGAAGGTACGTGATCGAGTGTGCTTGCACATGAGTATGCGTGCATGAATGTGTGCATGGTTGTGAGTGTGGGCCAACTTTTGAGTCGACTCAAAAGTCAGCTTTTGAGTCGATTCAAGAGTGTGCTTGCACATGAGTATGCGTGCATGAATGTGTGCATGGTTGTGAGTGTGGGCCAAGTTCGCAGAGCTGGAGCGCAGCCTGGGGGAGCCGGAGCGGGCACGAGCCGTGTATGAGCTGGCGATTGGCCAACCTCTATTGGACACTCCGGAGCTGCTGTGGAAGGTACGTTGGGGAAGAAGGAGAGTGTGTGTGCGTGGGCCAAGTTTGCTGAACTGGAGCGCAGGCTGGGGGAGACGGAGCGGACGCGAGCGGTTTACGAGTTAGCCATAGGACAGCCTCTTTTGGATACGCCTGAACTCCTGTGGAAGGTAGGTATTTCTTTGTGGGAGGTACGGTGTGGGAGGTACAATATAGAACGTGACTCAGCGTGGGCCAAGTTCGCAGAGCTGGAGCTGCTGTGGAAGGTACGCTGCATATGAGTGTGCGCATGCTTGAGTGTGTGAGCGTGTGCGTGGGCCAAGTTCGCAGAGCTGGAGCGCAGCCTGGGCGAAACCGAGCGAGCTCGGGCTGAATACGAGTTAGCCATTGGGTAGCCTCTCTTAAATACACCTGAGCTGCTGTGCAAGGTACGCTGTGCCTCAGCCACGCTTCTAGAGGCTGGCAGTAGTGTGTGCATGCGTGCGGGCGCGCGCGGTGTATGAGCTGGCGATAGGGCAGCCGCTGCTGGACACGCCTGAGCTGCTGTGGAAGGTACGTGATCGAGTGTGCTTGCACATGAGTATGCGTGCATGAATGTGTGCATGGTTGTGAGTGTGGGCCAAGTTCGCAGAGCTGGAGCGCAGCCTGGGCGAAACCAAGCGAGCTCGGGCTGAATACGAGTTAGCCATTGGGTAGCCTCTCTTAAATACACCTGAGCTGCTGTGGAAGGTACGCTGTGCCTCAGCCACGCTTCTAGAGGCTGGCAGTAGTGTGTGCATGCGTGCGGGCGCGCGCGGTGTATGAGCTGGCGATTGGGCAGCCTCTGCTGGACACACCTGAGCTGCTGTGCAAGGTACGCTGTGCCTCAGCCACGCTTCTAGAGGCTGGCAGTTGTGACTTGGTTCACGCGCGCGCCTTGGTCCTCGCGCACGCCTTGGTCCTCGCGCACGCCTTGGTCCTCGCGCGCGCCTTGGTCCTCGCGCGCGCCTTGGTCCGCGCACGCGCCTCGGTCCGCGCACAATTGTTAAGACGTCTCAATACGTGCAAGTACTCAATACCTGTCTTACTGCTTCCATCCCGTCATCTCTGTCCTATTGCAGGCGTACATAGACTTTGAGATAGCGGAGGGGGAGATCGAGCGCACGAGGCAGCTGTACGAGCGAGCACAAACACCTTCTGATGAGCATCAATCCTACTACCCTCTGCTCTCCTGTCTCTGCCCTTTTGCAGGCGTACATTGACTTTGAGATAGCGGAGGGGGAGAGTGAGCGCGCGCAATTGTTGAGACATAACACATTTCCCTGTTGTCTTTGCTCCCCTGCCCTGCCCCATGGCAGGCGTACATTGACTTTGAGATCGCGGAGGGGGAGAGTGAGCGCGCGCAATTGTTGAGACATAACACATTTCCCTGTTGTCTTTGCTCCCCTGCCCTGCCCCATGGCAGGCGTACATTGACTTTGAGATCGCGGAGGGTGAGAGCGAACGCACGAGGCAGCTGTACGAGCGGCTGCTGGAGCGAACCAAGCATGTCAAGGTGAGAAACAGCTCTTGCTGATAACCAGGTAACATCTGTGCTGTGTAGTTGCACTGTACATGGTAAGCACGATTGGGCGCTCGCACGAGGCAGCTGTACGAGCGGCTGCTGGAGCGAATCAAACATGTCAAGGTAACACTCCTTGCCACTCCTTGCCATCACTTTCCATTCTCCCGCAGGTGTGGATGAGCTATGGGCAGTTTGAGGCGCGGGTGGCAGTGGAGGAGGAGATGAAAGCAGAGGTGGAGGGCAGAGGCGGACGAGCTGGTGCTTGTACTTCCCCCTTGCACCCACTCTCTCCCTCCCCACCTCTCCCCCGCACTCCATCCCTTCTCTTTCCACCCCTCCACAGGTGTGGATGAGCTACGGGCAGTTTGAGGCGCGGGTGGCAGTGGAGGAGGAGATTAAGGCGGAGGAGGAGGGCAGAGAGGCGGACGAGCTGGTCCTGGCAGAGCAGTCCAAGGACCGGGTCACCAGGGCCAGAGGTACAGTGCGGTGGAGTGGAGTATGGGGTGTGGAACCACAGGTACAGGACAGTAAAGCTGAGTATTAGCATGCGCAAATCAGGTGCGAGCAGAGGAGGAGGAGGGCAGAGAGGCGGACGAGCTGGTGCTGGCAGAGCAGTCCAAGGCCAGAGGTACGGTGCGGTGGGGTACGGTGCTTGGGGTGTGAGGTGTGGACAAGGGGTGGGGTGGAAGGTACAGACATAAGGAGCCGGTGCGAGCCCAGGAGGAGGAGGGCAAGGAGGCGGATGAGCTGTTGTTTGCAGAGCAGTCTAAGGACCGGGTCACCAGGGCCAGAGGTACGGTGCGGTGGGGTACGGTGCGTGTGGTATGGTGCTTGGGTTGGGAGTGGGGCTTGGGGTTACAGATACAACGGGGAAGTGCGAGCCCGGGAGGAGGGCAGAGAGGCAGACGAGCTGGAGCCCGGTCTAAGGGCTGGTTGACTGTGGCCGGAAGTACGGTGTTTGGTTAGGTGTGTATGGGTTGGTTGACTTGTGTGATCAATGGGGTGTGCGGTGTGGGTGGTGGGGTGTGGGGTGGGGATTAGGTACGAGGGCAGTGTGAGAGCACAGGGGTGTGCTGAATCTGATTTGTGTCTTCTCGCCTGCTGTTCTCTCGTTCCCTGCCTGCCCCGTTCCTCACATGCGGCCACGTGCAGAGGTGTATGAGCGGGCGTTTGAGCACATGAGGACAAACGCCGCCGACCAGAAGGAGGAGCGGGTGATGCTGCTGGAGGCGTGGCGAGAGATGGAGCGGGCGGCGGGCGTGAACGGCGACCCGGGATTGGTCGAGAAGAAGATGCCGCGACGCGTGAAGCGGAAACGGCCAATCACGACGGAGGATGGCACTCCTGCTGGGTGCGTGCATACTCAAATCCACTCATGCATATCTGGGTTGCTTTGTTACCATTCTCGTCTTGTGTGCTCTGCACTTATTGTTAGAGACTGACGTTGGTTTTGCCATTTCATCCATTCTTGCTTATGGCAGGTTCAAGGAGTATTACGACTACATCTTCCCCGATGAAGCATCTCAACATTGTTTCCCCTTTTCATCTGTTTTGTGTATGTGGCAGGTTCGAGGAGTATTACGACTACATCTTTCCTGATGAAGCGGCTAACCAACCTAATCTCAAGATCTTGGAGGCTGCTTATAAGTGGAAGAGGCAAAAGCTCACTATGGGGGATGAGGAGGAAGGTCAGCAGGGAGGTGGAGCAGAGAGGGATGAAGGGGGAAGTGGAGGTTTGATAGACAATAAGGAAGAGGATGACTAGTGCGTGAATCATCAACATTTATGCTGAAGTAGAAATTATTTGACGAAACTGTATATTCTTGTGCTTGCTTTCTGAACACTAATAAGATTGTATTCTTCACTGAGAATTTCTATAACGAGTATCAGGTCACCAGCCAAGTTTGTCCAGTCTGTGCACCACCCATTACGTCCTGCTTAGATATTATCTGCGCGTCAGGCAAGGCGGCCCGTAACTTTCTGCCGACCATCTATCCGTCATCGCCGCCGTCGCTTCCGCTGACACCATCCCTCGGTCCCCGCTCCACCAGAACTCCCAGCACCCTTCGATCGCGCCATTTCCGATCGCGTTCCCTCGCCTGCACACAGACACTTACGTCTGCAAGCTCGCGATCCGCGCGTTGCGTTTTCGCCTGTGCTCGCACTCGCGCTGCTTTCTTATCTCCCCGGAGTGTAGTGTCGAGCACCTGCACATTCTCGTAGCCATGGCGGGGGGTCTCGACGTGCATAAGAACAAGTACATCGAGGATTGGGGCACGCGGCGCGAAAACCTCGAGAAGATCTTTCGCTTCAACCGTCGCACGCTCTCGATCGCGGCGCTCGCAATCGTCGTCCTCCCCGTTGTCGTTTACCGAGGCACCATCGCAGAATTCGTAAGACCCGCTTTTTTTTTGTGAAGTCGTTATATTTGATTAGGGTTGGTGGGTGAAGAGGGTGGGCCCCCCCCAACCACTTCTCACCCTCCTCTCCACCTGCGCTCTCTCGACCCTCGCACACTGCTTTGCATGGTAAACCTTGGTTTTGCCTAACAAAAGTTGTCGTTAGGAAAAATATAGAGCTTGCAAGGGCTGATGTCTTATAGTTGCACCCACTCTCTTGAGAGGATATGGTGTAATGCACCAAATAGATTTCCTTTGCTCCGTAAGCATGCTGCCGGCCAGGCTCCATTCTGTTTATATTCATTAGATGATGAATCGGACTGAACATGTGCACTCACAGCGTTCACATTCATTGCTTCATTTACCATCTTTTGCGTTCGTATCATTCGTCCACCTGTCCGCCTGTCTGTCTGCGTGTCCACCCTCGTTTCTCTACCCCATGCTCCCTCTTGTTCCTTCGTTGCCCTCAATGCACTTCTAATATCAAATCACCCCATTCCATGATTAACCACAATTCCCTTCCCTTACTCAGCAGCAAGGGTTAGAATTTCGCCTGGGTTTGCTTTCATTTTGCAAGCAGTCGTCTTTCGTCTCTGCTGATTGGATTCACTTCCTTCCATTCCACAGGCCCAACCTGTTGGGATATATCACAGCGCATGTCTTCTTGACTTGAACAGTGTTTTCGAGGTTATTCATTTACTCATTGCTGTATTGCTTGCAATATGTGCGCTGATGCAGAGGAAGCAAGAGGAACTGGAAGGCCGACCGCAGCGCAAGTTCATGTAGATGTGCAAATTCTTCGTACAGGGCATCAAACCATATGTAAATTGGAAATAGGACTGAATTGAACCCTTTTGAAGAGTGTTTTGGCCTTTCCTAAGCTCGTTAGTACATAACTGTATTGCTTATGCACACTCTGGGTGCTGAGTCATCCGCGATAGAGTCTAGGTTGACATCTCCCGCTCCAGCTCCTCCTACTTCTTCAGCTCCCATCGCGCCACGATGGTTCTTGTTGCTGCTGCCAGTCACTCGCGCGTGACCAGGCGAGAATCCCAAGGCCAACGTGTTCGCGATCCGCCCTTCTTCGCCGCGATCGCTCACCCAATCGTTTCCCTTCGCCACGCGCTCCGCCGCGCCGCCACATCACCACAACCATTACCAGCAGCAGCACCACCAGTCGTGGCTTTCACGACCGTTAAACGACTTAGAATTGGCTCAGAAAGCTGATTCACATCTGAGAACTCCCAACCGGCGCACCTGTCTTCTGCTCTTTTGAATCTCGTAGTATCGTTCCTGCGACAGATGGCTGCGCGCGTCGTCTCTCGCATCCGGTCGCACGGAGCGGCGGATCGAGCCGTTACATGGCCGTTCGCGGCGTTCGCAAACGGCTTTCCGATTTCGCGAGTCGTTACATCTCCCGCGTCCTCGACATGCCCCGTAAGGTACATTCCTCGTCGCCCCTAGAAACAATGCCATTCTCCCCCTCCCCTCCCCCCCCTCCCTCCCCTCCCTCCTCCCCCTCCTCTCCCTCCCCCTCTTCCCCCATCCCTTCTTTCCCCTCTATTCTCCGTCTCCAGCCTCATTCCCCGCTCTTCGCGCTCCTCTTCCCTCCTTTACCTCGTCTCTCCTCCCCTCAACCATCTCCTCTCTCTCTATGCGCTTGCTTGACTACCTCTCGTCTCTCGCTCTGTAAACTTTCACCCTTCTCCGCCCTTCCCTCCCTTCTTTACCTCATCGCTCCTCCTTTCAACCATCTCCTCCCTTCAACCATCTCCCCTCTCTCTCTCTCTCAATGCGCTTGCTCGACTGCCTCTCGCCTCTCGCTCTGTCAACTCTCACCCTTCTCCGCCCTTCCCTCCCCGCCCATTCTACTCTGTGCGTTTATTCCCGTAGGGATATCTCGTCAACCTCCACTCCCTCTGCAGAAGCTCCTACTGAAACAGCTGCATCCCGTGGTCCGTTAGAGGTAAGCCACTCTTGAGTCGATTCATCTAAACACCCAACTACAGGATTCTCTACGTTACCTCCCCTAACCCCACCTTCCTCTCCGCCCCTTGAGAATCTCCTACTGAAACAGCTGCATCCCTTGGTCCATTAGAGGTAAACCTTTTTTGAGTCTGTGACTCAACACTCGCCTGTAAAATCCCCTCCGCTACTTACCTCCTCCTCTGCGGAAGCCGTTACTACCAGCACTCACCTCCGTCCTTGCTCTCCGTTCATTCCCTCCCCCATTTCCTCCCAGGACCTGGCCCAGCAGCAGCGGGACTACCAGGCCCAAGTCTCCTCTCTCCGCAAGGCATAGGCACAGGAGCAGCAGGAGCTGAGGCGAGCAGCACTGAAGGCGCAGCAGGCACATCCCTCCCTACCTCCTACATGACTACCCCCTCACTGTCTCCCACCCAGGACTTGGCCCAGCGTCAACGGGACTACCAAGCCCAGGTGTCATCCCTTCGCAAGGCATACGCGCAGGAGCAGCAGGAGCTGCAACGGAAAACGCTGAAGGCGCAGCAGGCACATCCCTCCCTGCCTCCTTTCCCCTTGCTCCCCCCTCACCTTCTCCCCCCAGGACTTGGCCCAACGCCAGCGGGACTACCAAGCCCAGGTGTCATCCCTTCGCAAGGCATACGCGCAGGAACAGCAGGAGCTGCGGCGAGCAGCGATGAAGGCGCAGCAGATGCGCAGAGAGGCTGCGGCGAGCGAGAAGGAGTCGCATGCGGAGGAGAAGCGGGCGGCGAGGGCCGCCCGGGCGGCGCGGGCAAGGGAGGAGCAGGAGAGTCTGCGAGCAGCAAAGGTGGGTCGGATGAGTGGGGAAAAAAGGATATGGGGGATGGGTGGGGAGGGAAGAAAATGATGGGGGGGAAGGGGAGGGGTCGTGCTTGCTGGGTTTGTGTGTTGTGGTGTGGTGAGGCCTAGGGAGGAGCAGCAGCAGCGCAGAGAGGCTGCGGCGAGTGAGAAGGAGTCGCATGCGGAGGAGAAGCGGGCCGCGAGGGCCGCCCGGGCGGCAAGGGCGAGGGAGGAGCAGGAGAGTCTGCGAGCAGCAAAGGTGGGTCGGATGGGTGGGGAAAAAAGGATATGGGGGATGGGGGGGGGGGGGGTGGTGAGAAATGGGGAAGACGGAAGTCGGCTTAGGTGGGTGGGTGGGTGGGAGGGAAGACAAGGATGGGGGGGAGGGGGCTGTGAGGGGGGAGGGGAAGGGTCGTGCATGTTGTGGTTGGGTGTTGTGGTGTGTGAGGCCTACGGAGGAGCAGGAGAAGCTGTAAGCAGCTAAAAGGTGGGCGGGATGGGTGGGAAGGAAACATAAGGATGAAGGGGGGGGGGAAGATTGTTCAAGTTAGAGGTGTGTGGGATGGTCTGGAGAAGCACTTCTCTCCCCCGTAATCCCTGGCCCACCCATAATCCCTGGGATTGTTCATGCTTGTTTCTTTCTTTCTTCCTTCGCCCTACCCCATCCTCCTTCCCCACCCCATCCTCCGGCCCCCACCCGCACACCCCCCCTTCTTCACCACACCTTTTCTTTATGTGAGCAGCAAGAGCTGAAGGTGATGAATGCAGCGCGGCTCAAAGAAAGGGAGGAGAAGATCAATGCTCGCAAGGAAGCGGCCAAGACGGCTTTGCGGATGGAGAGCGCAAGATGGATCAGGGAGGACGAGTTGGAGTGGAGGATTATGGAGGCCATGTCGAAGCCATACATATTGTGATTTCAAATTGTACCAGTATCCTCTTCACGTCTATCACCCATGTAGGATGTAGTTCTTGTTGCTTCTGTTGCTGTGGGGAGAAAATCCGCCTCTTTAGTTCTGCTTCTTTTTTGTGAAATTTTGCTAGGGATTTGCAGGATGCATCCCTGTTCTAGCTTAGTAGGTGAATCGATATTAATCTTATAACAAGAATGATATTCTGCTGGTCGGGTGTCACGCAGATCGGAGGCGGTTTGAAAACTTGCGGCGGTGTGACCGTTTTGGATACATATGTACCGCACTGGGAGATTCCAGTTCTTCCAGTCCAGACCGTTTTGGACTCCTTCTCTTCCAGTCCAGTTCTCTGGAGTATACGTATCTCAACGAACAAACGAGTCAGCCCAAGCCAGTAGGGACGCAGATTCGAGGAGTGCAGCTGAGCAGAACTTGCAAGTAGATCGGAGCAGAATTCGGGGAATTGTAGTCACAGATTCTGAATGACAGCCGTGTCATGGCAAGCGACGAAGCGGCGTGCCTAAAGACGCTCGTAACGAGCCCAAGCCACTTTCGCTGTAGTCACACTCCTGCTGCTGCTTAGGCTTGTGTCCCAATCGCGAATCCTCTCCCCTGTCCCCTTCGTTCCTCTCCAGTCCGCTTATCCTTCAATCGGCCGTTCCTTTCTCTGCTTCAACTCCTCGTATTCAGCGTTTCCTTGTTGTTCAACGTCAGCTGATTCAATAAATTAGTTTCAATCCGACTCGAAAGGGACGGATCACGATGCTGGGAATATTCAGCGTCGTCTATTACTCCGTAGTCTGTCTCATTACAAGCTTCCTCGTTGTTCGTTATGGGGTACCGGTTCGTCTTCTCCGGCAACTGCAGGTTTACGTTCTTACAGATCAAAATGCGGGAGTACCCATGTCATCCGCTCCCAACGGGCAGGGAAAAAACAGGGGCAGGAGAAAAAACAACGAGCCGGAAGCGGACGAAACAAGCGGCAAGATGATGCGAATTCTCGTGCAGGAGGGTCACCTCTATTCGCGAAAGTTCTTTCGCGAGTTCGACGAAACTATCCTGTTCGCCTGCATAGGGATCATGGCGGTGTTTTCCCGGGAAATCCTGACCGTCATTGAGATTTACCTTCAGGGAAGCGGAATCATCGCCAACCAGCAAAGCCAGCAGCAGCAGAATGCAGATTCGAACACCCCGAAGCAGAATCTACATTCCTCTTCCACTGGCCTTTTCCTGATGGATCATGGCGGCATGATTCCTCTTCTGCTTGCAGCTGTGGCTCTCTGGAAAATAATCCGGAACTGGGCTTCTGTAGAGTGGGACAGAGGCACAACCCGTTCCTCGGATTTCACGCAGTGTGCTCTCGCCGGGATAACGAGCTGCCTTATAACGGGGTTCCTCCTCTTCGTCTTGCCTGCGTCCCTCACCGGCTTCGACTTCGACTCCGTCGCGGAGAAGGCCGGCGTGACTATAACGAATCACTTCAAATCGAAGGGACTAGCTAAGGACAACATTCCCGAATTCGTCATCCCCCCAACCTTCATTAAAACCTCATTGGTGCTCTTCGCAGGGGTCATCGGCGCGCTGTGCCTCCCTGCTGCCATCCGATTCGTCCGCTGCTTTTATCTCTCCACCAGTCAGCAGCCGTGGGACACAGGGATCATCCATCAGGGTTTCTGGTCCTCTCTCCTCTGGAATGTCAGCTTTCTGCTGCCTGTGCTCGCAGCAGCGCTCTGGTTCCGCCCCCTGACGGAAGTTTTCGAGCCTGTAGTTGTTTTCGGTGCGATTGGGAGTGGTGCTGTAGCTGGTGGTGGTGCTGACAGTGCTGTTGGTGGTGGTGGTGGTGGTGACACTGCTTCAGCTGGTGCTTTAGGTTCTGCTTCTGCTGCTGCTGCTAATGCTACTGCTGCTGCTGGTGTATCCACTCTTTCCCACTTGGGTGCTTATGTTAGCTCTCTGATTGGATCCATTGTGAGTGGCCAATGCGGTGGCCTCCCAATCGAATGGCTCCAGGTGGCAGTTGTTCTCCTCAGTGGCATTTCCCGTCTTTTGCTTCTCCGCATCGCCGTACAGTCACACCTCAATACTGCGCTGGTGTACTGGTACGACCAGCTACACTCTGGCAAGGAGTGGGCTTATCATCGCGTAAACGCACGTGTGCAGCTGACGTATTATTTCATCTGCAAGGTTGCTATTCAAGCAGTTGCGCTCCCTATAGTCACGCTCCTGCTGGTGGGTATTGCGAGGAGCAGAGGACCAGAATTGGATCCACTCTTTGATAAAGAAGGGTCTCTGTTGCCACCACTGCTGGTGAGGGAGATGGCAATGTTTCTTGCTTGGTGGTGTAATTTGGCTTGGGCTTTGCAGACTTGTGCTATTCTGGCACTGTTCAGGGTAGGACAGTTGAAAGCTGTGTAGGCAGAGATGCCTTTTAGTGTATGACGTTTATGCAGTTTGAGCAACTTTATCATTCCCCTGAATCCATAACTTCTCGGGAGCGTTTCCTTCTGTACCAGTTGTTGAAACTGTGTGGCCTACTGTTGTATGGTAGCATTTTGTTTCTCGTCCTCGTTTGGTGTACAATAAACGTTTGCGTTTTCATACGCGTTGGAATGACTCTCCCGCATGGGGATCACTCAAACAGCACCCAATCATCTCTTACCGTCGCTTCGTCAGAGGCGCTGAAGGAACACAGTAACTCGTCGTTGTCGACGCTAAGTGGTTGTGCGAGAATTCGCCAAGCTAGGGAAAGGAGCCCACAGTTTCGCTCGAGTCGCTCAAATGCGCCGCCTTTGAAGGGGCGCAATTCGCCCCCTCCGTCGCCCCCTCGCATTCATTTGCACCTCCGCCAGCCACATCCTCTCGCCCCGAATTCGCGCTCATCCTCTCTCTCTCTCTCCCCGTCGCGCTCGTCGCCTTCCCTGTCTGGTCCTCGCCTCTTCCCTTCCCTGCCTGTCGGCTTCTCCCTTCCATCCAACATCCTTCATCCCAACTCTTCTCTCACTAGTCTCTATCCTCCCCAGTCTCCACCAGTCTCTTCAGTCCCCAGTCTAAGTTACTCCCAGTTTCGTTAGTCCACACTCTCCTTTCCACACCTTTCCTCTAGTAGGAGCTAACCTGGGAACTAGGAGCTACGCGCACCGCCATGTAGCGCATCCAGAAGTCTGGTAACCGCGCGAGGTGATCTTAAATTACGATCATCTGATTGAAGTCTTGCGTATGCGCGCTAGGAGCAGCATCACAGTTATCATTGGGGGTGGTGAGAGTAGCAGCAGCAGTAGCGCCAGCGCCTCTGCCAGCTCGAGCAGTAGATTCGGCGCGCTTATGGCTCGACCGGCCATCCGACGCGCTGTTATAGTAGCGCTGGTGCTCTTGGCGGGGCTGATCCCGTGTCTCGCACTTGCTCTCGCTCACGGCGAGCACGCCGCAGCTATTGTCCTCGATAGTGGCGCATTCGTTATACAGCAAGAAGTTGCCATTCAGGAGCATACAGCGACTAACTTAGCTCATGGATCAATCCACACTGATGGCACAGCTTCAACAACGGCTCAAGAGGATCCGTCCTTAACATTCTTTGTTAGGGTTGGTTCGCCCAACCACGGAACCTACGGTGAAATGCGGAATGGCGGCGGAATGGAGCTCGTGGGAGATTCTAGAGTGATTTCGGTAGAAATCGGCCTACGGTGGACGTTGGAAGCTAAGGCGTGAAAAGCGGGAGAGAAATCGGGAAGAAACTGGAGAAATGAAGGAAGAAGAGTGGAGAAGAATCGAGAATGAGTTCGACGGGGGAAAATGTGGTTCGAGACCAAGGCGTGTTCGAGAAATTTCCAGATTCGGGCTCAAGGAGTGTTCGGTGAATTCGGTTCGGTTGCGTGTGCGACTCGGGGTGAAACGAGGCGCACGCGGTTACTTGGGAAACAAGTGAAGTTACGAATCGCATTTTGTACCTTGGTTGACTATAAAACTGCTTGTACTCATTCTGGAAAACACAACATTGAAACCATTGAGATTCTGGAAATTGCTGAAGTGTGTATTGACAACTTCAAGCAGAGCTGCGCATATCGTTGGATTTGGGAGATCGTGGAGAACACGATAAGCAATAGCAAGTAGACTATTGCCGACTGAGGTGTTTACGATCCTAAGATTCTTTAATCACACTCCGGCAGGATTGAAGCCGGAAACTTCTGACGCTATTTCTTCGATTCGTCCATTCCCCGAGCTACCTTCGAGCTTCTCAAGAGCTAGTCCGATTTTAGAGTCGCGAGAGAGCGGCGATCCCGATAGCAGTCCCCACGAGGCGACTTCCGAGTCGACTCAAAGGTCCTTTTCGGGAGCTCCTCCATTCCCCGAGCTACCTTTGAACTTTTCAAAAGCCCGTCCGTTTCCAGAGACGCGAGAGAGCGGCAATCTTGATAACAGTCCCCACCAGGGAAAAATTCCCGGAAATTCGAGATTATCCGCGGCAGAAGCTCTCTTCGATACGAGCAGAAGGATACTCAAGGTATGCACGAGCAGGTGATTGTGCGAGTGGGTGGCCACCCACCGATCTGCACGCCGCTGTACCGCATACGCCCAACAGCCTCAGTTTCTTGCCGACGAGTCCACATGCTGTTCACTTTCCCTTCCCGCTCCCCCCAAATCCCCCGCACCTTCCTACCCCTTCCCCTATCCACGCCGCCAGAACCTCGTTTCCCCTCCGTCTTCCCCATCCCCCGCGCTTCCCCCAGGGCTGCCCGTCGTTGGACGCGCTCGCGGACGGCGCGCTGGAGGAAGGGGAGCTGCGCGCAAGCGACTTTGGCGGAGACTTCGTGTTCGGATTCGCTACAAGCGCCGCTCAGGTGAGGCCACGTGGCACGGAGAGAGAGTGAGCCACGTGGCACGGAGAGAGAGTGAGCCACGTGGCACGGGATGCAGGGGAGCCACGTGTGGAGGGTTCAGGTGCAGCGCCGTAACATATTCGCAGTTATAGATTTCATTCATGCACTAATGCACACAATACGGTTACTGTCTCCTTTCTTCAATTACCCTGTTTATCCGCGCTTCTTCCCGTCCCCCTCCTCCCCCCCAACTTTCTCTCCTCCTTTCTCCTCTATCTCCCTTCCCGTATCCCCCTTCCCCCTCCCCCTCCCCCTCCCCCTCCCCGTCCCCCTCCCCTTCCGCCCATGCGGCGCTCCAGGTGGAGGGCGCAGTGTCGGAGGGCGGAAGGGGGAGAAGCATTTGGAACGACTTTGCAGAGAGGGCAGGTGAGGGGGAGGGCGGGCTGGAATGAGGGGAAGTAGAGAGGGGAGGGGGGTGAATGGAGAGGGCGGGTGAGGCGGAGGGCGGAAGGGGGAGAAGCATCTGGGACGACTTTGCGGAAAGAGCAGGTGGAGGGGAGGGCGGGATTGAAACGAGGGAAAGGAGAGAGGGGATGGAGAGGGGGGATGGAGAGAGGAGGGGATAGAGGGAAAGTAGAGAGGGGATGAAGAGAAGGGGGAGAGTACCGCCATCATTCCTTTACACAAGGTTTTCAAAGCAAGTTTTTCTACACACACTAAACAAACAGTTTGCTAAAAGCTGCTGCTGCCACGCAAAGACCATGACTCCTGTTTGGGGTTCGATTGGAAAGTAGAGAGGGGATGAAGAGAAGGGGGAGAGTGGTGATGCAGTGAAGGGGAGGAGAGGGGGGATAGAGGGAGGAGATAGAGAGAGGGGATAGAGAGAGGGGATAGAGAGTGGGGAGGCATCTAATGATGATAATCCTGCCAGTCACCCCTCCATCTCTTAATTCATTGCTTCATCCCTAGAAAGAATTGCTTTTTGAGTGGCGAATTTTTGAAGCTGCAACTTACCTAATCTGCAACTCCTGCCTGCCTTGTTGTATCTTCAGGAAAGATCAAGGACGCTTCAAATCCGTCAGTCACAGCTGATCAGTTTCACCGGTTTAAGGTGAGGCTAGACCGGTAGAGTACACCTTATCCTCGCCATAAGGCACAGCATATCAAGAATGCAGACTTGGCACGTATACTTAAGCGAATGTGTTTCTTCAATAATGAGTGTCACTACTCTCTTCGTACCATTCTATGCATGCGTTAACCATTTTGTTTTCCCCCTGGTTGCTTGTATGCGTGGCCACGTCATCAGGATGACGTGGCACTGCTCAAGGCCATGGGGGCGACCTCCTGCCGCTTCTCCATCTCCTGGTCGCGAATCATCCCTGGTGAGTCAAAGCAGTCAACGTGAGTCAACTTGGGTCAATGCAAGTCAATGATCTGCGGTCAGTGGTCAACGCGAGCGGCCTTCTATTGCTTCTCCATCTCCTGGTCCCGAATTATCCCCGGCGAGTCAAGCCGGTCAACGTGAGTCAACAAGAGTTCAACCAGTCAATGATATGCAGTATTCAGTGCTCTCCCTTCTCCACCCACCGCTGTCTCCCCTCCTCCTCCTCTCCTCCCTTCTCTACCCCGTGGACAGATGGCATGGGAGCAGTGAGCGAGGCGGGCGTGCAGCACTACAGTCGCCTCATAGACGAGCTGCTGGCCAATGGCATCGCGCCAGCTGTCACGCTGTACCACTGGGACCTGCCCTCTCACCTGCACGAGGCACACGGGGGCTGGCTCAATGCGAGCATCGTGTGAGTGGTGCTGCAGAGAGAAAGAGTGTACCCACTGTCACTCGTTGCTGTTGCCGAGTTTTCAATGTCTCACGACGAGTTACCCTCTACCTCTGGGACCTGCCCTTGCCCCTGCACGAGGCACACGCGGGCTGGCTCAACAGAAGCATCGTGTGAGTGGCTGCAGAGCGAAAGAGTGTATTGCCGTTACCGAGTTTATTGCATGCCCAAGCTCATTTTTCTCCCAAGCTAAAGGTCGTTGGTATCGCATAATCCAAACACCTCTCCGCTCCTGAATACAGACACGCCCTTTCATCAGGCACGTGGGCTTGTGCTACTGTGCCTTGCCAGGACACCTAAGCTGCTGTATCTGCTACTCAGTTAACCCCACCCCCCCCCCCACCCACAGGCACGCCTTTGTTCGGTACGCGGGCGTGTGTTTCGTCGTGTGTTTGCTCGCAACGCCGGGACGCCTGAACTGTCATTTCTTCTACTCCGTCAACCCCTGCAACCTCAGGCACTCTCCCTGCCTCCCCAACCACCACAGGCACGCCTTCGTCCGGTATGCGGACGTGTGTTTCTCTCGCTTTGGCGACCGGGTGAAGACGTGGATCACATTCAACGAGCCACAGCAGACTGCTGTGCAGGTGAGTGAGGGGAGGGGGGAAAGGGGGGAGCAGGCGGGAAGGCATGATAAAGCAAATTTAGTCATCCTGTCGTTTCGGCAACAGCGTGAAGACTTGGATCACATTCAACGAGCCACAGCAGACTGCTGTGCAGGTGAGGGGGGTGTGCATAGGGGGGATGGGCGAGCTGAGAAGGGGAAAGTGGGAGATGGGGAGAGGGGGGAAGGGAAGATGCTGCTGCTGCTGCTGTGGCCGTGACCCAGTGACAGTGTTACAGCCAATGGGTTTTCCCTCATGCCTTCTCCCTTCTCCCTTCCCTCCTCAGGGTTACGGCTATGGCACTATGGCACCTGGTCGCTGCTCCAATCGCACTTCCTGCGAGCAAGGGGATTCATCCACTGAGCCTTACATTGTCTCTCACCACATCATGCTCGCCCATGCTGCTGCTGCTGTCTTTCCCTTCCCACTACCCCACCTCCCTCAGGGCTATGGCTATGGCACTATGGCACCTGGTCGCTGCTCCAACCGTTCTTCCTGCGAGCAAGGCGACTCGTCCACTGAGCCTTACATTGTCTCTCACCACATCATGCTCGCCCATGCTGCTGCTGTGGCCGTCTATCGGAGGAGATACAGCAACCAATGGGTTGCCAGCTGGGGGAATGGGGAGAAGGGGAAGAAGGAGAAGGAAAGGAATGGCGGAGGAGGGCGCATAGGCATGACAATGGATTGTGTGTTTCTGCTCCCGGCCGATGGCACCCGGGAAAGTGTGGACGCAGCGCAACGAGGCATGGAGTTTGCATTTGCCTGGTGGGTGGGTGGGAGAAGCAGGAGGGCGCATGGGCATGACGATGGACTGTGTGTTTCTGTATTTGGCTGATGGGAGTCGAGAGAGTGCTGTGCGGACGCGGCTCATCGAGGCATGGAGTTGTCTTTTTCCTGGTGTGTTGGTGGGAGGGTGGGTGGGAGATGCAGGAGGGCGCATGGGCATGACAATTGATTGTGTGACCCAACAACATGCTACCTTGTCTCTCCTCGCTCCTCTTTCCCCTCACTAGGTTTGCAGACCCCTTATTCAGGGGCAACTACCCGCCCTCCATGCGCCAGGCTGTCACCTGCTGCCGATCTGTTTAAGAGGCGCCTCAGAAACAGACTCTCACCACCACCACATGTCACTCCCCCCTTCCTTCCCCCCATCAGGTTTGCAGACCCCTTATTCAGGGGCGACTACCCGCCCTCCATGCGCCAGGCTGTCGGCTCGCGTCTGCCGTCCTTTTCTGCCACCGAATCCTCGCTGCTGATTGGCTCCTCGGATTTCATCGGCCTCAACTTCTACACCGCTCAGTTCGCCGCCGAAAAAACGGTTCAGGATGGTGGCAAGGTAGCTGACGTGGCAAATGGGGTGGCACCATGGATGGACTGCCACGTGGACATGACAGGTGAGTGCCACATAAGCCCAAGTCTAGCCCAAGTTTAAGAAATTTACTCTCTCCCTTCTCCATTTTTTTTGTTGTTCTTTGTTTGTTCCATCCACCCCATTCCCCCCTACCCCCCATTGCCCATTCTCCACAGCCCATCAACCCTCCTTTGTTTCCCGCTGAAACCTTCTCCTTCCAGCTGTGTCTCCTGTAACGGGGAAGCTTATAGGGGAGCGCACGGCATCATCATGGCTACACGTGGTGCCAACAGCAATCCAGCACATGCTGACGTGGATCAGCCACAGATACCCGTCCGTCCCCATCATCATCACTGAAAATGGTAACACTTCCATTTTTTGCATCATATCAAAAAGTACGGCGGCTGTTTGACCCAATACATGTGCCTTTAACCTGTACATGCACATGGAACCCCATTTCTAATTTGTTATTTTTTCGTCCCCTATACGCCAGGAATGAGTGAGCCCAACCTCCCGTCGCGATCACTGGCTCGCACCCTCTGTGACGACCAGCGTGTTCGTTTCTACCGCTCCTACCTCTCCAGTGTGCTTCAAGCCAGGCGGTACGATCCCCTCACCCTCCTTACCTGGCCCCTCCTCTCACTCTACCGCTCCTACCTCTCCAGTGTGCTTCAAGCCAGGCGGTACGATCCCCTCACCCTCCTTACCTGGCCCCTCCTCTCACTCTACCGCTCCTACCTCTCCAGCGTGCTTCAAGCCAGACGGTATGATGGCTAGTGCTTCCCGTCTACTCTCGCTAGCCATTTCTATTGCTCCTCCTATCTCTCTAATGTGACTCCTGCCAAGCAGCACAGAAGCCATCCCGCTTTCTCCCCTCCCTTCTCCCGTCCTCATCTCATTTCCTTAGTAGCATCTCTTCTCGTGTCTGTTACTGAAAAACTGTTACTGAAACAATCTCAGAATCTTGTTACCCAACACGGAATCTCTTCTCTCTCCATGTCTTGTGCAGGCAAGGCGTGCCAGTGGAGGGATACTATGCGTGGTCACTACTGGACAACTGGGAATAGGCCATGGGGTTTTCAGAGCGGTTCGGTGCGGTGTTTGTCAACTTCACGGACCCTTCGCTTCCGAGATTCCCCAAGGCGTCTGCTCTCTGGTTCAAGCACCTTTTAAGAGCACACTCTATGCACATTAGGGGGCATGCGGTGCTGTAACAAGTGTGTTACGCAGTCATTTAAATTTTGGCAGAAAAAAAAAATCAACCCCACGTACCGTCATACCCCGGATAGAAGCGCAGACCTCGGATAAGCGCCGGCGCTTATAAAGGGATGAGGGCGCTTATATCCGGTCCTCGATTATAAGCGCACCCCCTAAAAATTTTATGATTTATTATAAGCGCAAGTCGAATATTATCTGAAAATCAGTCAAAACACGGAAACGAGTTTCACCTTACCAGGGAAGCGAAGTACAGTTCCACTTTCCCCACTCACATCACACTTGCTGCGCGTCTAGTCAGCACGCGCTGTCGCTTAGTCAGCATGTGTTGGCAGGGAATCAATCCCTGCCTCGAGAGTCAAATTCGCGACCCCATATATTTTCGACTCGATTACAATTGGCAGAACGAGATCTACAGTTTGGTGTTAAAATAAACTTAATTTCATTTGCCGTTATATAAACGCCGGCGCTTATAAATTTCCTCAATTATAAGCGCACCCCCTAAAAAACAGTGTTTTATTACAACCCCAGGGGCGCTTCTATCCGGGGTATGACGGTACCATATTCCTGTGTACATGTTATTTCAACCAATGGGTTGCAATCACCCTCTAAAGAGGATTTGCTTTGGCCATATCTTAGGTACCCAACAAAAGTGGGGACCAGAGTGTTGGTACGAGTGGAACCAGCAAACTACACTTTATTCCACAATAAGAACTGTACAGCAAATGTTACACACCAGTGCTGCAAACTCTACAGTCAATGACAAACATAACCCCACAGCACTCCTATCATGCACTCTTCTCTTAGTGATGCTTCTGCGCTCTTCATGATACTGCCTTCACTTCATCCTCCTCCACACAGTCACATCGGTCACACCCTCACAGCATGCCCTTGCCATTGTCTCTCGCCTTGCGTGCGGGAGGCGCCTTGATACTTGCAATCCTGTCTCCCCCTATCCACTCCCCTCCACTCTCCTCCAGTCCACCCCCCCATCCCCCCCCCCCTCTCTCTCCACAAACCGTTACCCTCACAGCATGCCCTTGCCATTGTCCTTGGCCTTGCGAGCAGGAGGCGCCTTGATGCTTGCAATGCCCGTCACCTCCCGCCCCGTCACAAGAGCATTCACGTCGTACGTGCCCTCATAAGTGTAGATTGGCTCCAAATCGCAAAAGTGCTGCAAGGGGAGGAGTGATGCACAGGTGGGGTGGGCATAGAGAAAGAAAAAGCAATTCTTAGTCTCAACAGCATTCATGTCGTACGTGCCCTCATATGTGTAGATTGGCTCCAAATCGCAAAAGTGCTGCAAAGAGGAATGGAACACAGGGAGAAGAAATTAGTCGCACAGGTACGATGGCCTGCACGTTGCCCAGGATGCGCTCCAGCTTCTCCTCGCAGAGCACCAGCACCATTTCTACTCTCCCTAGGGTTACTTTCATTACAGGGATCCTGGTTCGGGGTCCGGGGTTCCAGACCATAAGTATCAGACTCTCACCTTGGCCACTAGAAATTCTGCCAGGATGCCGTTTCCACCCAGCAGTTCCCTGCCCAAAGCCGCCGTCTCACGTGCTCGGAGAGTAATCCACGCTTTGGCCATGCTCGCATGCCCGGCCGTCATCCTCCCCTGGTCGTACAGCTGGGCCAGGCGCCGTGCTAGCAGCGACATGGCCTGCACGTTGCCCAGAATGCGCACCAGCTTCTCCTGGCACAGCTGGAAGGAGGCTCTCCTCTCCCTAGGGTTTCTTTCACTATGGGGTTCCAAGATCCAGGATATAAGTATCAGACTCTCACCTTGGCCACTAGGAATTCCGCCAGGATCCCGTTTCCACCCAGCAGCTCCCTTCCCAGAACGGCCGTCTCGCGCGCTCTGAGGGTGATCCAGGCCTTGGCCATGCTCGCATGCCCTGCTGTCATCTTCCCCTGGTCGTACAGCTGGGATAGCCGCCAGGCGAGCAGCGACATGGCCTGCACGTTGCCCAGGATGCGCACCAGCTTCTCCTGGCACAGCTGGAAGGAGGCGAGCGGCGCGGAGAACTGCGAGCGCTGCTGCAGGTAGCGCAGGCAGATGTCGTATATGCCCATGCACATGCCGACGGGGAGCCAGGATACCATCACCCGCGACACTGCCAGCACCTGATAGAGTTGGGAAGAGGTGATAGGGGAGAGGTGGTAGGGGAGAGGTGATAGGGGAGAGGTGGTAGGGGAGAGGTGATAGGGGAGAGGTGGTAGAAGAGAGCTGAGTGAGACTCGGTGGTGCAGGTAGCGCAGGCTCATGTCGTATATGCCCATGCTCATGCCCACTGGTAACCAGGATACCATCACCCGTGACACTGCCAGCACCTGAGGGATAGCACGAGGAGCAGGCAGACAGAAGGGAGGGGGAAGAGGCAGCGAAGAGACAGTTGAGTAAGAGTCAGTGGTGCAGGTAGCGCAGGCAGATGTCGTATATGCCCATGCACATGCCCACTGGTAACCAGGATACCATCACCCGTGACACTGCCAGCACCTGAGAAGCAGAGAGGGTAGGCAGCCGGGCAGGGGGTGAATAAATGATAGGATGCACTATAGAAATTGCACATGCACACTGGCAACCGCACTGTACCGCACTGAAACTGTTGCCTTGCTCTTCCCATATGTGTTGTGGAAAGAATACACTCCTGGTAGATGGTCACAGTCAGGCACAAACATGTCAGTAAGGGTGATGTCTCTGTTCTGCACCAAGCACAACCTACACTTCCCACACTGTACCGCACTCCACCGCTTTGAAAATGCTCGCACCTTGTTGGTGTCCTAGAGGGAGTTCAGTCCTGGCAGGCGGTCACAGTCACGTCCTTGAGTGTGATATCTCCGTTCTGCAATAAGGGCAGCCCATACTTACGGCAGTATACTGCACTGTATCGCAATGCACTGTGCTGTACCCCTCTGTACCGCATTGAACCTGCCTTCCTCTCACCTTGTTGGTGTCCTGGAAAGAGTTCACTCCTGGCAGCCGGTCACAGTCCGGCAAAAACACGCGTGATGTCCCCGTTCTGCACTGAGCACAACCTACACTTACGACACTTTACCGCACTGTACCGCTCTGTAACCTGTAATACCGCACTGTACCCCATTATACCGCACTGAAACTGCTCTCACCTTGTTTGTGTCCTGGAAGGAGTTCACTCCTGGCAGCCTGTCACAGTCCGGCACAAACACGTCCTTTAGGGTAATGTCTCCGTTCTGCACTATCCGCAGCCCGATCTTGTTCTCCATCTTCACCGCACTGTACCCCTTTGCACCCTTGCGCACAATGAAACTGGAAAAGGGGAGAGATGAGACGAACGGGCATGAAGAAGGAGCAGATAATGGTAAGGTTTATAATAGTGGGAGTGGGAGACGTGAAAACGGAAAAGGCTACTAGGAGGGGCAAAGGTGGCACAGGCTTAGATAAAGCAGACAGATCAGACAAAGCAAAGCCATAGATGGATGGAGGAGTCACTACCATCAGGCTTGGCCACAAATATGGGGAAACCTTCGGGCCCACAGAAGGTTGGTAGAGTTTACGGAACGATTGACCAATTGGACAATGGGCAGGGAGAGTTGAATGAAAGCTCACCCGTTGACCTGATTGGTCGATGTGTTGCGGGCAAAGATGATGATGACGTCAGCAAAGGTGCTGTTGCCGATCCACCGCTTGAAACCGTTGAGCACCCATCCGCCCTGCACCTTGCGTGCCGTGGTGGTGAGAGCACTGGCGTCACTGCCATAGTCGGGCTCTGTCAAGCCCTGAGGGACACGGTGAGAGGGATCAAGAGACAGGATATTCAGTGCACGGGAGGTTAAGAACCCACCCAGCCGCCCTGCACCCTGAATGCCGTGGTGGTGAGTGCGCTGGCGTCACTGCCATAGTCGGGCTCTGTCAAGCCCTGAGGGACACGGTGTGAGGGATCAAGAGACGGGATATCCAGTGCACGGAATGAGGTTAAGAATTCACCCATCCGCCTTGCACTCTGCATGCCGTGGTGGTGAGTGCGCTGGCGTCACTGCCATAGTCGGGCTCTGTCAACCCCTGAGGGAAACGGTGGGAAGGAAGGGATGGGATGTGCAGTGGGTCAGGGACATGGGCGCAGAGGGAGGAAGTTGTACCAAGAACGCTGTCCAGCACACTCATTTAGCACAAAGTCACTCAGCTCACTCAACCAGCAAAACGGTGTGCATACAAAGCACAGATGCTTCGTCATCCCCCCAGTACAAGCCCCTCACCCAGCGCAAGCCCCTCACCCAGCGCAAGCCCCTCACCCAGCGCAAGCCCCTCATCCAGCGCAAGCCCCTCACCCAGCGCAAGCCCCTCACCCAGCGCAAGCCCCTCACCCAGCGCAAGCCCCTCACCCAGCGCAAGCCCCTCACCCAGCGCAAGCCCCTCACCCAGCGCAAGCCCCTCACCCAGCGCAAGCCCCTCACCCAGCGCAAGCCCCTCATCCAGCGCAAGCCCCTCACCCAGCGCAAGCCCCTCACCCAGCGCAAGCCCCTCACCCAGCGCAAGCCCCTCACCCAGCGCAAGCCCCTCACCCAGCGCAAGCCCCTCA